CATTGTAGATCTCCGACTCGACCTTGGGGACCAGAAGTTCAATCAAAGCACGCACCGAACGACCAGCTTGAAGACCTTCAACAATAGCTGTGAGCTCCGCCTCAGCTGTAGAGAGAGCCATGAGGCTTTGCTTTTTCGACTCCCATTGCACGAGGCAGCCCGCCAGCATGATGATTGTCCCAGACACACTATGGCTGTCACCCGGACTGAAAGATGCATCCACCAGCACTTCTAGCGTTCCCCAGTGACGAGGTTGGCTTCTCCGTAGATCCGGACCAGAGTCTTCAGGAACGTCCTTGGTGTAATGCAGTCCGAAGTCGAGTGAGTGCTTCAAATATGCCATGACTGACTTTCCGAGCCCGAGGGTCCATTGAGGCTTCTTCACTGCATTCTGGGCCATTTTCATGACAGATCGGGACGGGTTTTCCCAGACAGCCAAAGAAGTTCTCCAGTGATCTTCTGTGCTTCCCGAATCTTTGGAAGGGATATTGAGACCTCATCCTCAGTGTCCTCCGGGACCTTGATGAAAAGAGGAAGTAGCGCCGCCCGGATGTCTTTCCATGATCTCACGGGCATAGCACTCCTGATGTAGAAAGTAGGAGCCATCTTCAAGGCGCTGAATCTCAATCCCCAGGAATCTCATAGAATTTCCTCCAACCATGGCGTACTCAGGCGCCGAAGTGGACCACCGGCTCTGGATCGTCGAGGAAGCTGCATCTGTAACAGCTTTAGGACCCACCATGAGCACATCATCCACATAGACGATCATGTGCCCGAGCACTCTCCCCCATCGTCGAGCCCCGTCCTCCTCCGTGGTGCACTCTTGTATGGCCCACAAGTTCGGGTCCTCCATGGTCTTGAATGCAAAGGAGCATTGCTGTTGGTCCTCCTCCCGAAGAAAAGAGCCCTGCATCTTCTGCAACTCCGCGTCACGGAACGAGCTCCAGTCTTTTGGTGAAGTCACTAAACCGTACATCGCAGAAGTCACCAGCCAGTGTTCGCCTGGTTGAGCCAATTTTGCTTCCTCCAGGATCTTGGGAGGTTTGACAATAACCGTCTCCCCCTGAGCCTTTGGTGCTAAGAGAAAGGCAGATTTCACATCCAGCGACAAACACTCCCATTGCTGAAGTGACGCCATCCTCAAGGTTGCGCGAAGTTGGGTGGAGTCCGCGCCCGTGGCATACACTTCATCCCCAGCACGTGGTTCCATGTAGTTGCCGCAACACACGATGCGAGCACGACGTCGACCATCTCCAGCTTTCCTGGTGAACACACCCATGCCTGGAATCAACTCCGCTCTCTCCCCCTTGTTCTGAGCCTCCGCCAGGATCTTGCAAGTTTGTTCTTCGTCAATCCTTTTGATGGCATTGTTGTTGTCGAAATTGTCAATCTCCGTTTGAAGTGGAGGGATCCAGAGCGGCAAGGATTTGCGCACCTCTTGAAGGCTGATGGTGCGTGTTTGTAGGAACACTTCGCCCTCTTCCTCCGCCACCTGTGACGCCTCCGCCTCCAAGCGCCGACACGAGATGGTGTACTCCGGCACCAGCTTCTCAATCGCTTCATTTTCGCGATCCAGGTCATAGATCAAGGCGATGGAGCCCTCCTCACCTGAGTCTTCCACTGCAGACGACCAAACTCCTCACCCTGAGTCTGCTCTTTTATTAAATTTAGTTTTTGGATTGATTTAATGTAATTGATAAATTTACTTTGATTTTCAAGTAAAATATCAAGTAAACTAAATTTTGAGAAAACAATAAACTACATGTACTTTTTAACCAAACTACATGTAGTTTGGTGTTGTCTTTTTCCTAACTATTTTCAAGGCAAGGCCACTTACATGTTTTTTCATGAATTAATCACATAAAAAAACCATACCCATACCACCTTTTGAACTTGTTACAATCAAACTCCATAGCACAAGTAAAGGTATCAGGTACTTTGCACTTGAATTTCCAGAGCACAAATAAAGGCATAAGTGTACATTCTCAAGAGACAAGTGCAGTTTGATCAAAAGAAAAATGTATCTTGCATCTGGTTTTCCTCAGCACAAGTAAAGGCACAAATGCAATTTGACAAGAACAATAGAAGAACACTCTGTTTTTCAAAGTTTGCCTTGCAGCCACAAGAGGTGTCGCTCTTTCCAAGCAGCCTTTTTGGCAGCTTGCCAATGCTTGGACCCATGCAAACATGATTTCCATAAAATTTGGACTCTGTGCATTGTAGACTCACCTTTATAACACCAGACCAAAAAGGGGTGTATGTAGCGGCTGAATTGCAAAGAGTGTAAAGCAAAATGTGTCTTGGTAGTCATGTTGAACAGCTGCTTACCATCCTCTTCAAAAAAAGGAGCTGAGCTGTGAATGTAGCTGTGCCATTGTGAGGCCAGCATTGAACACCTTTTCAAATTGTTCTGCAGGTATGGCCATGTGGCCAAAAGAAGGTCCAAAAGTTTCCAAAGCATTTTTGAGCTCCAGATTGAGCTTCAGGAACAATTTGATCTGCTGGTGTTGTTGGTTGGTGTGGTCCATGAAGTTCATCCACAAATCCAATAAACAGTGCGCCAATCCTGCTATGTCACTTGCACGGCCTCTCAGCTTGGGGTAGCCTTTCTTTGGTTGGATCATGGTGAGCTTGTCCAACTTCATGCGGTAAGGGTGCTTTGCCCTGTGGTTCCTTTGGTGCGTTTTAATCCACAGACCCAAGGTTTCCAAATTTTGTAGAGGCTCTTGTGGCAAAATAAAATGCACCAGGATGCTCAAAACACTCCCATAGAAGTGCTGAAGCCAGCCCAAATGCATGCAGTGCATGAAATCCATTGCCAGGCGCATGTTGGAAAACCCTGCCAGTTTGTAAAGGGCTCCTGTAGGTGACCAATGTGACCTGTAGTTGGATGGCTGTACCATGCTTCTTTGCCACAGGCTGTTTGGACGGTTGTCCAACCAAGAGCAAGGACCATAATATGTGCACTTACAGAGCACACATGGTTTGTCATGTCCAGTGACTCGAGGTGTTTCCATCCACTTGGAAAAAAAGTCTGGGTCACCAGCTACCTGCACTAGCACTGCTGAGTAGCCACCTGCTAAAGGTTGACCTGCTTTTTGGCCCTCAGGTGAACTTGGAGCATATAGTTGTCCTCTCCAGTCTCGATGTGGCCATTTCCCAGTGGCCAAAGCTGAAAATGACCACTGCATAATCAACCAGAAGGTGTGCATTGTTCCCAGAACAGCACCTGTTGTATCCACACAGTATTTCTCAAATACTCCCCACACATAAATATGCGCATCTTCAAAGCCAAGGCCAGAAGCACAGGCCAAAATTGAAAACCAACTGAAGGAGAGGACTGCCTTGCACCAGATTTTACCCACCCCTAAGACTGGAACTTCGTCACCGTGCAAACCCAGGGGTAGGGTTGTGTCCATCCAATTTTTGTTTTTCTTGCAAGGATGATTGGCCATCAATGGGTGATCCTTGAAGTTGTTCCAAAAAAAGCTTGACCTTGGACACATCTGGTAATATACATCTAGTCCAGGCTTCGACTTTTGCAAAGTAGGATGCAAACATCTCATGTGGCAGAAGGATACTGCTGGATGGCTGGTCAGGACTTGCACCTTTCATGGGGATGTGGACCTCCAATGGTTTTGGCAAAGAAGCTTCCTTAGCCATCATAGCTGTCAGGCTAGGACCAAAGTTTTTCGCACGCTGTAGAGAAGCAATTTTGTTCAGCTTGGTGACCTTGAAGCCTTCTTGAGCTTGGTCCAGATCCTTTTGAGCTGCTTGGGCAATAGCATGCACCAAGGCTCCACTCATCAACCCTTTGGCAAAGTATACCATGAGCAAAGCATAGAGTGCGCTTTCCACTTGCAGCTCATTTGCAGCTTTTTGTTGTCTTTGCCAAATGCCACCCTTTCTCTTTTTGAATGCCGGCTCACTGGGCTCCATTGCAAGAAGGAAGGTGAAACAGTTTACTTGCAAGAAACCCTTTCTGGGCTCTTTACATTTACATGTCCAAAGGACACTCTTTTTACATGTGTCAAGGTTGCCATTGATTGGAAACACTTGGTAGAAATATTCACAAGCACCTTACCTGTGCATCCCCTTAGTCTTACCTGTGCATCCCCTTAACTGTGAACCCCTGATTCAAACTTTTACTTGTGATAGCTGACTTGAGCTTATCAAAGTGAACTTAATATCACAAGTAACTTGCACATGTAAGTGGCAAAAATGCATGACAAGTCATAGGCTGTTCAAGTAGATACACAGAAATAAACATACTGTGTCTTTCCTGTGCATCCCCTTAATTGTGAAGCTTTGATTCAAATTTTTACTTGTGATTGCTGACTTGGGCTTATCAAAGTGACCTTAATATCACAAGTAACTTGCAAGACACAAGTAACTGCACACAAACATTTTTTCTCTCCATGTTACAAGAAGTTCGAATTGCTTCTCTCTAGTCATAGGCTGTTGTCTCAATCGTTTTGCTGAGAAACAACAAGTTCAAAGCCTCATCACCCAAGAAGGCACCAAGCCTGTCGATGAAGAAGTGCACAGTGAGCATGGCAGCAGTCATATTGTCATCTCTTTGCTGAGCTTCCAAGACCTTGAGGTTGTGATTCCACATCCTTTCTTCATGTGAATCAGTAGCATCAGGCAAGCTGCAACATGGCTCAGTGGCAGTTTCCATATGGTAGACCCCACCTGTAAGATGACCTAAAGTCAAGAACCAAAAATCTGCAAAAGTACAAGCAAGTATACAAAAGCAAGCGCAAGTAAAGAAAGTCACATGGCCTCAAGGAAGTACAAGTAATCACACCTCACCACAAGTATACTCACAAGTAAAGGCCAGCTCACAAGTAATCACAAGCAAACCCAAGTAAATGCAAAGCTACATGACCCAAGTAAGAGACCTGTATTTTTCTTTTTTTGTGACAGCATCAAGCGCTTGATATGTCACAGGATCAAAAACCTAACTCCTTGGCCATTGAAAGACAGGAAAGCCATAGTCACTTGGAAGCTTTGGTTCTCTGAGCCCTGACTTGGAGCTGGCCCTTGACACCAGCCAAGGTCTCATGTAGAGACTCGCAATTCTTGCCACTTTCCTGCACCAATTGGTTGTACTTGACCATGGTCAAAGTGGAGCGGTCCTCCATCTCCTTCCAATGGTAGACGTGTGAAATGGATCCTTTGATCTTTCGAAGCTCTTGCACAGCATCCTTCCTGACAGGACAGAAGCATGAAAGCAGCTCTGCCAGTTGTAAGCTGTGTTACCATTAGAATTTGTTTGGTAAGTTAACCAAAGCCCACAAGTAAATGCAATCAAAAGTAAATGCAAACAAAAGCAAAAGCCATGAAAAAATAAATGCAATCAAAGGAACAACACATTGTAGCATGGATCTTCTTTGTTGTCTGGACCGATGACTTGAAGAAGCTTTAATGCGTCCTTCTCCAACTTATCAAGCACACCCTGGGCTTCAATGAGTTGTTTCTGTGCTGCCTGCCAGTGAGTTTCACTGAGGGGCGCATCAGCATCACAAAGTGCCAACTGTGAAGGTTGGTCTCGACTGGAACCAGAGCCACTCACCAAGCCAGTGAGTCCCTTTTGCCAATGCTTGGCCATTTCCATGTACATCTCCATGTGTTTCTTTCCCCCAGTATTTGTTTGGTCCCACCCCACTGTTTCCTTTTCACCCTGCTTCTTGGTCTGCTGGTTCTGTTGCCATGAGTATTGTAAACCGGTGGAGGTATGGACTTCGACAAATTCTCCTGCTTGCAGGCCCTCTTCCAAATCAGCATTGGAGAGATTGAACTTTCCCATGAACAGCCTTCTGGGCAGGCTTTTGATTTGTTCCTTCTTTGTATTCTCCTTGAAGTCTTCCCGCATATTCTTGAACATAGCTTTCTCTGTGTTCATGATGAGCTTTCCCCCTGCTGAGCGGTCAAAGATGCTGTTCACAATCAAAGTCTGTTTGTCTCTCTTGCCATGCTTCAATGCCTTGGTGTTCTCCCATTCTTTCGCAATCCATTGAGGAATCTCACCGGCTGCAAGCATTTGCAAAAATTTTTGGTTTTTCACCCTATCCCTTGTCTCTCCCTTCCCTGGCTCCACCACTGGATCCTGCTCCTTGACCCTGCCTCTTCTTCTGTCTCCTTCTCTTTCTCTTCAGGCACCAAGCCAAGCTGCCAACCGCTGATCTTCTTGGAAGAAGGCTTGCCATCCTTTTCTTCTGTGGCACTTGCAGGTTTCTTGAAGGGTGCCGGTGGCTTGGGCTGTTGCTGAGGCTGGGTAAACTTTGGAGGCTTGGTAGCTGGCCTTTTCACAACCGTCTTGATTACCTTGTTCTTTGCTTTTGCCTGTGGCTTTGGCTTTGGACTAGATTTTGTCTTTGGTGCTGCCTTTGTTGCTGGTTTCTTCTTGACAGGTTGATCTTTTTCACTCTCTGAAGGCAATGGCTCAACAGTCTCAGGCTGCATTTCGACTTCTTCTGGAATCTCTTCCTCTGCCATGGGGTCAGGTAAGCTCTGGATATCCCTTGAGTACTAGTTGCTTGCCAAAACAAACAGCTGCAGAAGCTCCCATGTAAATGCAACTAATCATTTTCACAAATAAGTTTTCACAGGTTAGTTGAAGAACTGTTCACAGGTAAATCATTCACCCTGTCACAACAAACTTCTGACAAGTAAGTTGAAGAACTGTTCACAAGTAAATTGTGAAGTTACAACAACAAATTCTTCACAGGTAAGTTGAAGAACTGTTCACAAAAGGAAATTGTAGAATCTTTGCTTCACAAGAACTCTTCACATGTAAGTGCTAATCTTGACACAAAAAAGAACACAATTTCAACAAAAAATATTGGAAATCTCTATGTAGTTTGTATGTAGTTTTTATGCAGTTTATATGCAGTTTCCAAAACTACATGTAGTTTTATAAAAACTACATGCAGTTTTGATAAAACTACATGTAGTTTTGGAAACTGCATATAAACTGCATATAAACTGCATAAAAACTGCATACAAACTACATAGAAAAATTCACATAAAATCAATCAAAAACACATCAAAAGTATATAGACATATTCAATTTGACATGTCCATCCATGTTATATTCTGGACATGCTGGTGTTGCACAAGTAGGTCTCACAAGTACAGTATCACAAGTAAAGCTCACCTGTAACACAGGTAGAGCAACCCTTTTTACAGGCCAATTGAAGATGTTGGCAAAGGGTGAGATGTCTTATCTCCTTCCATGGGAGTCTCGACTGTGCCTTGATGACTTGTGCTTGTTGTTGCGCATAGCCTTCTTGAGGAGCCTGCAGGGTTTCATTTCTGATTTGTTGAACAAGTAATGAAATATGTGTCACTTTCTTGGAACATGAAACTACCTTAAGCCTTATGGTAACTCTAATATTACACTTACACAACAGTTCAACATGGCCTTCTCCACAATGAGTTGCTTGAACCATCTGAGCTTTCTGAAGAAGACCTCCTCCTTCTAGAAGTCTTCCATCTCAAAGCGTACCTCAAACTCGAAGAACTACTCCTCCTTGAAGTCCCCCTCTTTGTGCGTCTCTTCTTGGGAGCTCTACTCCTTTTGGCACTTTTGCTTCTTTTCTTCCTCTTTGATGAAGAAGGTTGTGGCTCCTCTGACTCACTGTCTTCCTTCTTCTCTTTGTGGTCGCTCTCATCCTCCTTTGGCTTCTCAGGCTCCTCCTCTTCAGGCTCAGGCGGCTGGACCTTCAATTTCTTTTTTCTTTTTTACCCGTTTTGTTTCCCTTGACAGCTTTCCCAGTTGTATTCTTGCTGGCATCTGATGGACTGTCTCTGGTCGAAGATGGGGGTTCTGTTGAGGCTTCCAACAGACCACTGCCATCCTGGGACACTTCCTCCTTGATTTGCACAACAGGTGCCCCACTCTTCATCTTTGGAGGCGCATTATTTCCACCATGAGAGTGCGCTGAAGATGGAGAAGGACGTGGAGCCTCACAACTCAATCTCTCACACACACAAGTAACCTAAAAATAAGAACTCTCAAGTAAATGAAGCTGAAACATGACTTACGTGTCAAAAACACAGATAAATTGAACATAAAACAAAGTAAACACACAAGTAAAATGAGTGAAATAAAATGAGTATGACATTGATAGGCTGCCTTTGCAGTGGCACCTGCAACTTTGTCCTGCTCCATGTGACTTGCAACTGCTGCTGTTATGGCCGCACTCAGGTGAACATCTGCAAGGTCATTCTGCTGCTTGAGGACGAGGTGGTGCCACTGGTCCCATGTATAGTACCCTGGAGGAGGTTGCATGGGCGCTGAGGCTGGAACAGCTGCCATAGGTGGTGGTAATGGGCATCTAGGAGGTGGCCCAGGAGGTGGTCTTGGAGGTGGTGGAGGAAAAGCTGGGGCTGCTTTGTTGCGCTCTGCAGAATGCTGGTCCAGTGCGTGGGCTGCTTCCAAAGGTCTGCCCCTTAGATAGATACAATACATCCTCAAGTACAATATGGTTGCTCTATAGGGATCCCAACAAAATTCAACTTATTTGTTCACTCATACAATCAAGGAACTCTGTGCAAACTTCTAAGTCGTAAAAGCCATTCAATTGTTGGATCAGCCACTCCACATCTTCATCCTGATCCAATGCCAAAGTTGAAAATTGAAGTAACCTTTTTGTTTTTCAATCCATGTAGAATATCCATATTAAAACAATCTATATACACAAGAACCACTGCACATGAAACATCATAAGTAGCCTGCTCAATCACCAAGAAAGCACTGCAGTGTGTAGGTCTGTGACACTGATCTTTGCGTACCAAAGCTATGGAGCTGCAGGAGCCACATCCAATCCTCTGGATGACATTCCTCAAAGCATTCTTGGTCACACTGTACCGCAAGTTCTTGACATAGACTCTTCGAGGTGACATGGCTCTCAACTGGGTGAGCTGCACCTCAACACCTAGAGGTCAAGACTTAACCCAATGAGTGACAGTGACTCATAGGTCTTACATGCTTTGTATGAGTTCACTTGGGACAGCTAAGATCAAACAAAGTTTACATGAGTCTACTGCCTTGAGCAATTGGCATCCATGAAACCATATATGGTGTCTCAAGTAAAGTGAGTGTTGCCATAAGTCAATACATACGAATTGAAAAAATAATCGTACACTGAACATGAGCAGAGCTCTTGTTCAATTGATAGGCTGCAAGTAAGTACAAAGAGTGTGATACACAAGGAATGCAATCATGGCCTCACAAGTGCAATGATTTGGAAAAAACTGAAAACAAAGCTGTTGCCACAGCACTCACAAGTAAAGCGCAAGTAAAAAATGCAAAGTCACTCAGAAGTAAAGCACAAGTAAAAACATGCACAGTCACTCACAAGTAAAGCGCAAGTAAAATCATGCTTTGGCACTCACAAGTAAAGCACAAGTAAAATCATGCTTTGGCGCTCACAAGTAAAGCGCAAGTAAAAACATTCTCTCACACTCACAAGTTAAGCGCAAGTAAAATGCTGAGTATAACATCATATCCATGTCTCTCAAGTAGATGCTCACATGTAACTGACCCTTGTTGCAAAGCTTGCTTCTCCCCCATGTCTTTGTTTGCGAAATCTCACAGGAACCCTAGCTCTCATAGAGAGAGACAAAAGCTATACCTTTCACTCAGGGTGGTACTCGTCCCAAATCTTCCCAGCTTGCTGGCCTGCAACCCTGCCCTTGCCCTTGGCAGCCTCCTCACTGTGCCCATGCTTCAATGCATACTTGTACGCCTTGTGGTAATGACGGCTCACATAAAGGTTTCTGTACCCATCAGTGATCGAGGGCATGGTTTCAATCACATAGTCAGTGGTCTCCACATTTTCTGGCTGAGGATTTCTGCCTGGGGTCTTGCTGGTCTTCTTCTTTGCTTGCTTTGCCTTTGCCTTTGCCTTGGGCTTGCTCACAGCTTTAGCCTTGGCAACTGCCTTGCTGCCAATCTGCTGCTTCTTTTTGGTTTTCTTTTGGCCTTTCTTGCCTTGTAGCTGTGGAGCCTGATGGCCCAAGGCAGCTTGCAACACAGAGTGGTCACTCAAGTCAGCTCCCTGGGACTTTGGATCACTCAAGTCAGCTCCCCTGGACTTTGGCGCAGCAGCTGCAACAGAAGATGTCGGCAATGTCGGCAATTCATCCTCCTGCATAATCTTCTGGAAGATTGAAGGCATCTCAGTCAGACCAGATAAGGAAGATGAAGAAAAGCACAAAGACCGCTTGAGGGTAGGCTTGGGGGGCATCAGAGGTTCACAAGGCTTGGCCTCATGCTCAGCAGGCACAGCAACAAGAGCCAAGCGCTGAGCACTTGTGTCCTCTGAAGTCTCTTGGCTGTCCATGGTGTCCACACCATAGCACTCCTTGGGAAGCACCACTTTTTCAAGGACCATCTGCATTTTGATCTTCTCGTCCTTGCTCAAGTTTCGAAAGATCTTGTCTCTCAAGGAATCCTTCACCTTGACCTCCCTGAACATGTTGAGAAGAATTCTCATGGTGAGGTCCAGCTTGTCAAGAGCGTCCTCAGCTTTTCCCAGATTGGGAGAAAGGTACAGAGCCTTGTTGCAATGCATGCTGGAGAGCGCCTTCTTCACTTTGGTGGAAGCCAACTTGGTATTGGGGCAAATTGCCAACATTTCAAAAACCAACCCACAGCACTTGGCCATCCACTCTGAATTTGGTGGAGATTGCCAGGTACATGCTGACATGGCAGGTGGTGGGCAAATCAGGCGCCAAAGATCACTACATTTGTGAAACCGTGTGTAGCTCTCCAGTGTGCCCTGGATTTGCTCCACACTAATGTAAGGATCTGCAATCAAGCGAAACTTACCACCCTGCCTTTTGCCCACCTCAGCATTCATTGACTCCTTTCTCTCATGGAAAGCTGCTGCCAAGGTAGCCATGCCAATGACAAAAAGAATGGCCAACAACAAATGTTCCAACTGGTTGACTTGAGGCAAAATCTAGTAAACACATATCATGGATGGCCAAAAGCTTCACAAGTTAAGCATTGCAACACAATTCAACAGCAAC